CCTCTCTTTTGTCTCTTTTTTATTGGGGATACTGCGGTGGGACCCTGACTCATAGAGCTCAATGTAAGCTTTGTCCTTTATTTGGGAGAGCGCATAGGGAGTGCTCTGCAGAGATAGGTTTCATAGCACATGTCAGATACATTTCATAGTATATGTCTGCTATTATCAGAAGTTTGGTCACTGAAATCCCGTGCCACGTGTACTCAATGCCCTATAGCTTTCTGAAAACAGTCCACTCCATAGGGATGGTGGAGATTGATAGTCTATCTCTGTGAAAAGAAGGCGGCATATTTCCTTGCAAATATTAATCTATAGGAAGATGAAAGTATGCCATGACATAATTAAATACCTTTTTCACGAAGAAGCTGAAAATTGTTCATTCAGTTATTTGAGCTATGCTGAATAACTGCTTTTTATTCTAGGTATTTAAAAAATGAAGGTAAGCACCTTGATTTTAGCAGCTTCCAGGGCTTTTTTGCCATCCCATGCCCAACTTCTCTTGGTGAAATAGTTGACTGTTGCAAATTCAATCAATGCAGAAAATACAAAGGCATAGCAGACAGCTATAAACCAGTCCATTGCAGTAGCGTAGGCCACTTTTGGCAAAGAGTTACGGGCACTGATACTTAAGGTGGTCATGGTGAGGACTGTTGTTACTCCTGTAAAGGAGGGGAAAAAAAAACAAAAGAGGCAGAGATGAGTTTCGTAGTCTTTAGGAGATCCCTAACGAGTTATGAGCAGGCCTCAATTCAGCATGATAGCTAAGAAGGCCACATGAAGTCAGTCAGAGTTTGCATATTACAGTCCAAAAGAGTAAGATACTTTGCTCACCAGGAAAAAATACAAGCCTCTGCCCTCAGGTGTTTACTTCTGTGGTGTTCTGGTTATCTCTAGTTATAGTGTATCTAAATAAGCATTTTTGAGGGTATTCCAGCTGTTACATAAACGAAAATTTTATCCCTGTACACTGGTATTTTATCCCTGTACACTGATGCATGGTATGTGTATAATGTCTCTCATTAAGCGGTACATTATAAAATCAGTTTAGCAGTATCTTGCATAATACAGTAGGACTATGGATTTTATTTTCTCACATGGCGATTTTACGTATGACATTGTTGGCTGTTATTGATTTCCTTGACTGTAGCTCCTCATCTCACATAGGTCAGTAAATGACAGAGCTGCCACTACTTTCATCTATGGAAGGATGCCCTCAACAGCACAAAATTCAACTCTCAGTTGCAGCTTTGTAAACCTCAATGGGTACCACCGGTCAGCAAAGCGATGCTGGTAGCTGTATTCTCCCCATACAGCTTGCTGAACTGATTTTTGATCAAAGCTGCCGACTGATTTCACTAGGTTTGTCAGAAGGATGACTCTTTTCAGAACAGCTGTACGAAGTTTTACATAATAAACTGTTCCCGCTCCCCTCATTTTACATCTAGTGAAAATTTTATATTTCATCAACCTTAAGACTGTGTTTATTTTCTGCAATCTTCTGGTGATAAATTGAGTAATTTAAGAGACCCCGAAGGATTTTTCCATGACAACTTCTGTAGTAACTTTATGTTTTCTAAACGCAAAACCATATTAATTTGTTTGATGGTAATAGAGATAATTGTCACTAATTAACCTCTACATGTTTTTCCCAGATAAACATCTTAAAACAGAGATAAACAAAATGTCTTGGAGTGAAATCTGTTTCAAATGCTTAGCTAGAGTATACACTAAATATGATAATATGTATGGTTTTTTGTTCTAAACCATCCAGTATTTTATCTGAGTGGAAAAAAACCCCACAAATCACATCAGTCTGATCCTTCTGTCTTCTGTCCTTAACCTTCACATAATTGATTCTTGAGCAGTTTCTGTCATAACTTTACCAAAAAAGCCCAGACAGTATTTTTAAATGGATTTTGAGTTTAAACCGGAAGAGAACAAGGGAACGTCTAGAAGACCTCAAGCAAAAATAGGCATTAGTGCACTGTGGTTTTGTTACAGCAAATCACTTCCACAAGCCAGACCGATCCTTCCCGCGTGCTGGGAGAAAGTGGGATACTCACCAAAGACAGTCCTAGCAGGGACAGATTCTCTGTTTAGCCAAAACGACACTTGCGATAAGATCACAGTCATAATGCAAGGAAGGTACGTCTGGATGACAAAGTAACCAATTTTTCTTTTCAGATGAAAATGGGCTGTCATAATAGTATATTCGCCTAGAAGGAGAAAAATGTGCATGTGGGTAAAATAAGGGAGGCTTACTGATTTAGGGACTTAATCAGGCCAGCTCCACCCCCCATTTGAGGATACCATTCAGCCATTCTTAATTGCCTGAAAAATATCTGGATTTCTGTGCTGTGGAAACCCAGGACTTGAGACAGAGGCGCTGCTAGATCCTGCCAGTCTTCACATTCGGTCCCCAAAAGCAGAAGACAACGACTGACTACTTCTACTGCACTGAAAAGCTGCAGTCCTTTTATGCACCTGGGATGTCTTGATGTTCACAGGCTGAAAAAAATCCGGGTTGCTGGTGCTGCCTCAGTCCTGCCTGTTTTTGATTCAGTCCTACAAACTGTCTTACCAGAGTAACGATTAAGGCCATCTACTCTTAGAACCCTGATTTAGCAGCAGGACTTAACCTCATTAGGGTAAGTGTTACTGCCAAGCCATCAGTTTTCAAGAATGAACGGGTCCAGACGCTCCTTCTGCACCACACGTTAGGGATTGCCTGTCCCAGTGTCAGCGCTGCAAAAATTGCAGCTTTGCACGTGGATCCTGGGAGGTCTTGTTGATCTCAGTACCCAAACCCATTGAATTGTTCCTCCAGAAAAAAAAATATCTCTAGTGCATGCAGTTTTCCTAGAATTTGGTGCACTGTAGCCTTTGGAAAGATAATCTGTTGCTGGATAGACATTGTGCCATGTCTTGTTCACTTGTGCAATTAATATTGTACTGCCTGCATGGAGAACTCACTGAAAGCTGCCAGAGCAGTGCTAAATTCCATGTCTTTTTTATATGCCAAATTCACAGCATTGCCTTAATCTGGCTTTTGTCAGGTCCTCTGAATTTCAATAAAAGCCTAAAAAAATGCACTCCAAAATCGACAGACCAGCTGTCACCTTCCCTAATGTTTCAGAAAAAATCAAAACTTAACTGGTTCTTTCAGACTGCTCCTGTAAAACCATATAGTTGTTTCTGAAGGCTATTCATTGATGGTAACTGCTCCCCAAAGCCAAAATCTTGCTAGCTAAAACCAGGCTACTATTTGCCTAGGAAAAATAAGAGTAAAAACAAAATGTAAGAATAAAAAACAACCAATCCCTTCAAGCCCTAACAGATCTCCACTCACATTGATATCAAATTAATTTAAAAGCATGCATCATTCAGCTGGGTACTGATGAATCAGAGTAATGCCTGTTCTGAGAGATATATTGTCCTCAAGAATAAAACAAATACAGCTATCATCTCTGTTGCAAGACTTGACTGTTAGTCCCTATAGACCAGCCACAAAAGGAAAATATATAACAGACTGATTCTGCCTTCAGTGAACAGCCCGAGTTGAGCTGCAGCCAGCATTGCTAAGCAGTTAGATTTGGCAGATTATTTCTAAGTGACAATATGGCTAATTAGCGGAGAACAGGTCTACAGTGAAAGGGCTTTTGCAGGTATAGCTGCACTGATATGTTATGCTAGAAGATGTCCGTTGTTCTGGATGAAGTTTACAGACCTTGTTCGTGCTGGGGGTTTTAGACAGAAAGACTGGAATAGCAAAGAAATATCTTACCTGACAGCCTGCCTCAATCTTTCTGAAGTCTGATTTTCTGGAGAAACAGTTCCCTAAAGAGGGATGTGGAGATTGACAGGGAATGCTGTGAAACTGGGGAGAAAATCCCTGTGAAGCGACGTCTAATTCCCTTCCACTTAGTGTAATTTTGAACCAGGGATGCTGAACGTGCTGTGGTCTCAGGAGGAACCCCACTTGCCCTTTATTTAGGAGCATTCAGTTTGTGGATTACCCATAAAATATGCCAGGAGCAGCAGGGTCTATGTAATCTGAGTTGCTACTGCACTGGGATGTGTTTGAGTCACAGTTTCCCTGCTCGCTAAGGAGTGACGATGTGCATTATTGATTTTGACAGTATGCTTTCGGAGCAGGAATAAAAAAAATCTACACAGCTTCAGCAGAGCAACAGGACCCTCGTTTTTCCTTTTTAAAATGCAGAAAATGAATGCTTACATTTTGATGGCCCTCCACAGCTGATTTTTACCTTATCATTTTCTTTAACCTGTCAAAGCTCTTGTCTCCACTGAAATAATGATACCACCTTGATTTTGTACTTGCTCTTCTCCCAACGGGTATCTTCTCCAATTTCCCATGCTGTCCCTTTCAAAAATGCCTACACACTAGGAATGCTTCCCCCAGCAGACTTAGGGCTTAAGAAAACCCCACAGCTTGGTTTTTAATGCCCTGGGACCACTGCTTAAAGTAAAGCTAAAAGCTCCCTGAGTTGGCCTTTTGTTTATATAGAACAAAATCCTGGCTATGCTGGAGTGGCAAAGCTCCCTTTTACTTCTGTAAGGCCACTGTTTATCCTTAGACCATAAGCTTTCTTGAGTAAGAGCTAATTTTTGTTATAGGTTTATGTAGCACTTAGAAGAGAATCCTGTTCCTGATGGGGTCCACTCATCACTGCACAAAACAATTTTAATAACAAATTTAGCACTAATGAAAAGCCCTAGAGCAGAAACAGCTGCATTTCTTCACAGAGCTATGCTACCGTGCTGCTGCTGGTCTTAAGGGTCTTTTTATGCTTTAAAAGCTGCTACAGTGGTTTTTTTTTTGGTATCTAGATGATGGAGTTCTGGAGATCATGATTACGATTTTCCAGGAGCTTACATGCATTTTTCCATTGCCATTATGCTGGGATTCAATAGAGTATTTTAATGAGGTCGGAGCAGCCCCCAGGCTTTTTTGTTTACTGGATATACCTGGACTCAGGTGTATCAACAACTATTCTGGCAAGATCCTGACATTAGGTCTGTGACACCGCAGTCCCTGACTGTGGTGACACCCAGAATATTTTGGCCCACGAGAGATGCCTGTGTCCTTTTTATAGTGATGCAGGGGGAAAGATTCATCTCAAGGAAAAACCAGAATTATTTGGTGCAAAATGGAGGGTTGAATGCTTCTTTTATTATTTAGGCTTTGGATATTTCAGAGCTCAGGCTCCAGCTGGCAGAAGATAAAAGAGTGGGTTTTTGTTTTGTTTTGTGGCACTGCAGATCCTAAGTTAGCGATGAGAGATTCTGGGTATGGGGAACAGAACTGGGCAACTATTTGCGGAAAGCAACGAGATCCACTTGGACCCAAATCCTGTACCTGATTGTTTTCAGCACTTGCACCACCAGGACGGAACAGACATTGGGCCTGTTGGAAGCAGTGTGAGTGGTTAAATATCTTCTCTTGTGGGGGAATGACATCTGGGGATGTTAGCACAAAAAAAAAACCCAAACAAAACCAAACAGGTGGCACATATCAGAGCTATTTTCTGTGGCATGGCTAAAATGTTCCCAATTTCAGGATTGGTTGATTGGTGAATTGGGAGTGCCAGGATATTTTTTCTGAGAAGACAGCCAAACTTAGCGGTTTGCCTACAAAACCAGGAGAATCCCAAAGGATTGGTGCAGGTCCAGCATTTCCATTTAAAAAAGCAAAGTCTGCTAGAAAGGAGAGCATAAATGTCCTATGACATACGCAAACATTTTGCCTATGCAACTGCAAGGGCTGTGTAGTTTGACTGGTGTGTCAAAAAACCCACAAAAGATCCAAGCCCTTGGATTTGTGCAATAGCTATTTGGTTTTCCTATTTCCATGTTCAACAATTCAATAGAAAGAAGAAATCCCTTAGATGGCCGTTCATAAGTAACCCTGATTACTGGCCTTCTACGAGCTTGATGAAGTCCAGAAAATCCATCACTGACTGATGCTTTCCCTGTGCAAAATCGGATTTTTGTATTTTGTTAATCCCCGGTTACAATCTGTGTCCTGCTCTTTGTGATCCACCCTGCAATCAGAATCCAGCCAGCCCAGATGTAACCCAGGACATTAATATAAAATCTTGACGTTGGAAAACAAGCATTTATTAGCCTAAATCTTATGATACAGGAGGGAGGTGGTTACTGGGCAGAAACTTTGGGATTTGCCTGAAGAGTCCTCTGTTTCCTTGGACTGAGGAGTACAAAGAGATTTCACAGGCAAAGCTGCAAACTGGAAGTGGCCCAGGGCTGACACGCTGGAGCACTCACTGCCTGGGCTGGATGGTTTTCTTGCTCTGAGGAGCAGGACGAGCTTGTAGGAGATGCCCCAGTACGTCCTCTGGATCTTTTTCTTGGCAACGATGAAGGCGAGAGGGGAGCTGCCGTTCATTGCAGAAAACAACGCGGCTATGATGGTAAACTGGTAAGGAAAAAAGTGTCTTTGCTCTTTAATGGGAGATAGCGTACTCCTCCATTTTTCTGCAGCGGTGGCTGCTCTGACTCTGTCTATATGCTTCTCTTGACTTTAGATATCTTTGCTTTAGCAACAGCTTTGTGTCTCCTGAAATGGGCAAGGGAGGGGGTGAAGCTCTATAGGATGGAGACGGTGGTTGTGTTTTGTGGCTCCGCGGTGCTGCCCGAGGCAAGCTTTCCCTCACTTTGTCTCCTGTTTGGAGAGTAAATGGCAAGCTCAGCTGCCCCCCTCTTTATTTGCCATGTTTGGGCAGTTTGAGCAGAAAACTTTACGTGCCTTCATGTTTCGGTCCAACTAATTTTGTGTGCGCGTGTACGTGTACCTATTTTCACATCTCCTAAATCTCCTGCGGACAGTAACAGGTTCCTAACCCGATCTGTACCTTGACCGCTACAATCCTGCCTTTGGCTCAGAGCCCATCCTTTTTCTCCAGGGTCACAGTGCATCACCAGAAGACCCTGCTGTGCTTTGCCAGCAGCAATTGCTCCCAGCCGTGTTGCTGCAGGCTGCAGGTTCCCCCCTTCCCCCTCCCCAAGCC